ATGGTGATGAAGAACAGACCTGGCGTAATGCCTTCATTTCATTTTCCGTGTCATTTTTAATTTCTACCTCTTTCTCCCTTCTTCTCTGGCTCCGAAATCAGCGACAAACTTGTGCGGGGCGGCGTTGGCCGGGGGAGGGCGGGGGAGGAGGTATGTGCACGTGTCGCGGAAGGAGGAGGCTCGTCTGGTTCTCCACCCCACCCCACGCGGACTCACTCCTCCCCTTCCCTCGGCGGCTTTCCACGCCCTCTGAATTTCTCCCGCAACGATGTTTCGTTACTTCTCCGCAGAACTTTCTCACCAATGTTGTCTTAAAATAGTACGTTTTGAAGACAAAAAGGTTGGTTCGAATCCATCACAGGTAAAATTAAAAGAGAAATCCAAAAAGAATTGCATTCTTTACGAGAACAGTTTTCTTTTTGTAAACATTTTCTCTCTGACTTTCTGCACATTCTTTCCGTGCTCTTCGCTTTCTTTCCGGCTTCCGTCTCTCTTGTAGGCCTTCGTCGTCAATGGTGAGGTCCTCCCTCTCTAAAACCGACAACCTATCACGACTCATTTTCCCCTGCCCTCGTAAGCTCCGCGACGTTCGTCCTTCTCCCTCAGACGGCTCCATTCTTATTGATTCTTTCTTCCTCCATTTTTTTCCCCGAGACGTGTCCCTCCGCACACTCTTATTGCTGTTGTGTTGACTGAGAGCTGCCGATAAGCGGTCCTTTCAACGCGTGCATTCAGCACGCGGCACGGCGCGGAGCCGTGACTGCAAAGGAGGGGGGTCGCGGGTGGGGCGTGGGGCGCGTGGAGGGGCGGCGAACAGTGGGGTGAGTTAATACAAAATGTAGCAGCTCTTTTTTGTCGACCTCTCCCAGTCTATCAACGGCGCAAAAAATATGCCAACCACAATCGACTGCGACTTGCAGGGAAAAAATGGGAGGGGCATAGGCGAGCCGGGGGCGCAAAAATAAAAAAAAATATAAAACGGGGCCCAGCGCGGACGGATCGGGTCTTCGACAGAGTTCCGAACCTAAAATGGCGATTTGGCATACGTGGTTACACGGGATCATTATATTGCAATAGAACTGATTAGTTTTTAATATTACAGAGCATTCGGCATTAAAATAATAGAACGCAGAGTGCAAGGTCTGAAATGATTCGAAACTAAGCAATAGGCACGGAGAAACGCAATAATTAAAATATATAATTTAATTTTGTAATACGTTTGTTGTTTTCCTATATCATGTATAACTTCCAAACCTATACAATGAACATAAAAAATGTAAATTATTGGACACGGCATTAAAACTACAACCTTATTAATTTCATGATCCAAATATTAATATTTGCCTACAGTTGTAGTGTGAATGACAAATGATATACTTTTTGTTGCATGAAAAAATTTAAAACCTGGTACAAACCTCGATTTGCTTTCTACAATTTTAGTTATTTAACATATCGTCTGGACTTCCTTGAATACACTGACAAGGCATGTCCAATGTGTCCTTGTTTCATTTGAGAAATGGAAAAGAAATATCCTTAAATTATTTCATCACAAGAAACGGTTATTTTGAATTAAACGAAAGTCATAAATGGAAATGAAACAATAATTTCATTAGTTTATGAATTAAAGGAAAGTAGTCATTGCTTTCCCGTAAGCATCTCCGACGCCATTTACTTTTCTAAATAACGCAACTCCTCTTTTAATGCCAGATTAATAATGAAGTTCTGTGAACGCGGAAAGGACAGAAATATGGTTGATACTCTTGGTACATATTGAATAATAACTGAGAGACTAGTATAAAAGATAATCACATTAAATCAACCTAAATTTGTGTTTTTAATAACCTTTCTACCGGAAAGCTGCCTTAAGCGCTACTCCATTTGAATTCCTTTCAAAAGAGATAATATCTTCAGTAATATCTTTTAGAATTATTAACAGCTTTTGAGAAATAACTGCATGTTATACTTTCGTATTTGTTTTATAAGAGCGGATCATTCCCGAAGACGATAGAAATGAGAGTTACTAAACCCGATATTGCATGTAGGTCTCGTTCAAACATATAAGCATCATGAAAGAATTTTAGTTCATTTACTGAGAGCATTCATGATGCGTTTTACAAAGAAACTTTTAGGGAAAATGAAATAGTGTTAACTTGAACGAGAAGAAATCCTAGTAAATATATTGGACCTAATTATGCCCTTAGCTATTACTTCAGTGTGAGTGATATTTGAGGTGATGGGAAAGAAAACTCACCAGCTTCGACCACCATTTCTCTCCAGACGTTAATTGACGCAATGCTACACGTAGGCGCCGGTTTGTGCATTCCGCGAATGCTTTCAGCTACTCTAGTGGCAAAGGGCACAGCTGCAGTCCCCGCCGGCGTGTGGATATGACACCGCCTATTTATTGCTGTGCGGATGTTGCGCCGTTCGAGTCCCTTTGTTCCGTTTATCGAGGGTTTTAGTTACATGGGCAGAACGTTTCACACGGAATTCTTTCGCTGCATCGTGTTCAAATGGAAATTAGGTAGAATGAAAGGATGGCGAACGATATCTCTGCTCTTCCAGTCGCTTTTTGAAGGATTTCAGAAACTGCTTGTGTCGTGCATGTTTTCAGTTAACTTCAATATACGTTTTCACTTCGCACTCTTTGTTTCTGTGCATCGCCTTGCTGTGAACCTGCCACCTGAACCTTTCTACTGCTCATATTGACCTCATTCAAAAACAATAAAATTAAAAAAAAAAAGTAAACCACTTCGATACCCGGTTGAATATGCAATTCTAGAAGATGGTTTCAAGAAACGTTCGAGATATGTAACGCATTATATTTAGTGTCAACATTATAAATGTCGCTAAAACATCATTGATCAAAATAAATATATTTTAACTTCGTATTGAAGATACGTGTAATTTTCCTCACGTTATTCTCAATTTATAAATAAAATAATTAAATATTGTATTAATGTTCTTTGGCATATCGTCAACCTTTATAGAAATAATGAGACTATCTCAAACTAAAATTTATCGTAAACTCCGCATCCAAGTTCGAAGGATTGCAAGTTATCATCTTTGATCTCCCTGCTTACTAACTTATAAACAAGCAAGTAATAAACGGCTTACTCTTTCTTGCGATTATTACACCGAGAACACAATTCTGGGACTTTTCAAAGGCGTATCAGCATGCAGTCAGCAGATGCCCGGTTTTCAGTTTCGGTTTTTCTTTTTCTTCTTTCGAACGGTGCTACGTCTCTCTGGGGTCTTGTTACGGGCGCTGCACCGTGGAGAACAGCAACGAACGAGGACAGAATGCTAAACGCGTCCGACCGCCGGACGGGCCGGCGACTGCGGAGGAAGACGGGTCGAAATAATGTTTCTTCCTCGTCCTAAATTCAAAAGTACGCGCTGAAAAAGTCGTTCGGTGGCACACTGAAGAGCTATGAAAATATTATGCAGATTCAATACATTAAGGATTCTGATTTTACGCCTAAAATAAAATTATTTATATCAGAAACTGAAAATGATAGGATAATTCTTTGATTTACAGATCGTCTAATTAAATATTTGAACATCCTTCATTAACCCTATCAACTTGCCCTATTCGATCTTATTTTTGTGTGTAAAACTTATAAAAATACGTTAGGTTCTTTCATGGACTGAACACTATTATCCGAAATATAACTCAAGGAAAATTCGAACATAAACAATGACCGGACCTTGTATCTTTTCATCAAAATTTGTGCATTTCCTGCCAATTAATCCCACCCGAATTCAGTACTAGCAAAACTGAACACGTACGTGGCGCTCTAAATTAAAATGCACATGATGTGTGAAAACGAATAGTAATACACAAATAACAGTGCCACTTAAGTTTGTGAGACATTCCAGTGTGCATCCCTTGAATCCGTGTTCTTTTTTTTTAACTTATTCCTATTGACACTTATAAAATGCAATATTTTGATGTTTTACAACACGAATTTTTGGCTCGAAATTGATTGTCTAAAGAATATTTAGAGAATACCCTCTACCCTCACAGGGTGAAAATTTACTTATGAGTTGGCGTCAGTAGAGACAGATAATTCGCGTGCGGATTAATACATTTTATATGTTGAAAAATATAAACTTGAATTACGAATTTATTAGAATTTGTATTGAATGTGTGAATAATTTTAAGTTATTCAGTCAACTGCGGTGGGATGAAAATGTTGTAAGTTCATATTTCATAGTGTTCATCTTAATCATATTCAATATATGGGCTGAGCAAATGCTGTAAAATGTAATATTCGTTTGTTGCTTTTTTCATTCGCAGTAAGCGAAAGCTCGTTCGTGAGATTGTGTCATGTTGTATTGACGAAATGTCAAACATGTTTAGACGTTTGATTCTCATTTATTTCATTGTGCAAGATGTTTTCATTACTTGTGAAAGCCCTGGATTTAAATATACGATACCATAATATTTTCCTCTACCTTTCTTATTCGAAATACACGCACAATCAAAGAATACTTCTCATACATCCACTTCGTACAACATATCCATATTGAAATCAAAACACTTTACTTCCGTTATTTTAAACTATTTTGCATCAGTTTAATTTAGATCGAAGCAGAAGGAAAAGTGTATCTTTCTCTAATCGCGAAAACAAATTCGTAACATTTTGTGTTCTTAAATAATACATATAACAGATATTTTGACGAATAAAAGGATTCTTTTCTTGAAATCGTGAAATAAAAATTTCTAAAAGTAGCTTCTTTGAGTGATTTTCCCAAATCAATGAAGGAATGGCTCACTTACTTTCTGCTTTTCAGTCTGTTGTTTCTTGTATTGACTTTGTGTTTTTATTACATTTTTTGTTCATATGTATTTATCTTGCAGATGTTTAAGTCTTTTGAGTTACAGTGTTGTGGTAGTCGGTGTTGTGCTGTGTTTTTGTCATGTGTCGACCAAGAGTTCGGCCACATCATGTGTTCTCTCACAGGAGCTTCAGCTCCGTGTCCCTGTGTTGCAGCAACATGCGGCGTTGATAGGGGGGCCTAACGCCACCTCATGCCCCATCTGCCATAAACTCTTCCTGGGAGGAGAAGCACTTATGGAACATATGAAACATACGCACAAAGACCCCAATGCATCTGGAGTGGCAAGTAAGTTCCCAGCGTTTGATGCTACATTCTAATATTCTTAATGCATGAAAGCTTGTAAGGTCTTAATGCCTTTTCAATATACATTACATTTAATGTATAAACAATATTAATGAGAAACAATAAGTAATGTATTATTCATATTTTGGATGATGCAAAATTAAATGACTTAAATATTTCAGAACTATTGTAATACATTTTAACCTTGATATTGCATGTTATATGGACAAATTTCATTTCAACAGAATATGTTTGCTTCATATTAATATGATATGCATGATTGAATTTATCATTTACAAATTAAATTTTTTAATATTACAATCGCAATTTCGGTGCATTAATTCACTTTTTAAAATAGAATGTCTTCAAAACTTAGAAGTCAATATAAGTATTTTATTCAAGACTGTTCAAAAAGTGTTGTCAAGCAAAATTGTATTTGTGTCGATAGACATATAATTCTGACATTGTAAGTCACCGAAATTGCGAAATGAAAGATAAAATATTAAAACTAGTGTAAGCACATGCTTTGCATTGTACTAACATTTGGCATGTGTACTTTATTTATGCAATGCCACTTTTCTCAAAAAACATGTATTTAAAAGTCCAGTTTCAGTTTTTCAAAATTAAATTAACAATAAGAAAACGAGATAAAATCTGATATATTTAATCCAGATTTTTGTTTCAAAACAAAATACGTTTTTGTTGAATATGAAAGAACTAAAACTTATTATTTCTCACATTGGAGAACACATTTGAGAAAAGTGTGATCGCGCTATCTAACATGACCTGCTTCCAATGGTGCTTCTGCATTGACCAATGGTTTATTTCGCTTATCCCCGTGCCGATCCGTATTTAGCGAAGCGGAGGACAGCAAATCATCCATGTCCAGTGTGCGGAAAACACTACGTGAACGAAGGCAGCTTGAGGAAGCATCTAGCCTGTCACCCGGAAACGTCGCAGTTCACTACATCACTTCGAATGTGGCCATGCTCCGTATGTCAGGCCGTGTTCACACATGAATCTGGTGAGTACTCAAAGAGAATTGCTGTATATCTTAAGCAGTTTCGCGTAAATTCGTTAAAACATTACACATACATAAATTACACAGCAATTCTCAGTTTTCCTTAATTACATTTTTCACAACTTCAGAGATAGTAAATTGCAATTCCAAAAAATTTAAACGATAATACGATTTACACGTCTATGTTCTCGTCAATCACCTGAGCAATATTCAGTAAATGAATGATGACTGAAATGAACATTGCAATTTCCAAGAAATGGAAGTTGAAAAATAAATATCTTAGGAAGTGGATCTATTTTATTCTCGGCTCTTTGAGTGAGCCCTTTGCGCGAGCTTTAGGACAGGTCTGGAGCATGGGCGCTGGCCGGCGATTGCGAGGCACGTAATGACGAGTCTTGTATTGTACGCAGGGCTGCTGAGCCACATGGAGCATATGCGCATGGACCCGAAGCATCAGTTCGCCGCGCAGTATGTGCTGAGCCGCGCGGCGGCGGAGCGGCGCGAACGCGAGTCGCTGCTGGCGGCCGCGGTAGCGGCGTCGTCGGCGGGTGGGCTGGCCGGGCTGGGCGGCGGCGGCGGGCCCTCGTCCATGTGCGCTAGCCCCTCTGCACACTCCGACAGCTCGTCTGGCGGCGGCCGCCTCTCAAGCACGGGCTCCGAGCCCGGCGGCATCATCAACAACAACAACAATAACAACAAACTCGGCGACCTCCTGGGCGGTCGCAGCGGAACCAACGGCCTCCACCAGCAGTACGGCGCCGAGGACTTGCACAACGCCAGCCGCATGGCGGCCATGGCGGCTATCGTGGGACAGGTGGGCCAGTCCTCGGCCGGAATGTCTGGAGGGCTGGGCACCTCCGGCTCTGGCACGCTTGGCGTCGATACGAGCACCGCGGCGGCCGTCCAGGCGGCGGCCGTCAACCTGGCCACGGCTATGCGCATGGGCGCATCGGGACTAGGCGGAGTCTCCTCGCCTGGGGCTAACAACGGCAACGGCAACGGCGGCTCGGCTGCCGGCCCGGGCTCCTCGTCTACGCCGCCCGCCACGGGCGACGGCGGCGTCTCAGCCGCGCAGGCCCAGGCCGCGCAGCAGGCGGCGCAGGCAGCGCAGGCGGCGCAGGCTGCGCAGGCTCAGGCCGCCATGAACGCTGCGATGCGCGCCGCCTCCATGGCCGATTCCATGCGAGCGGCCTCCATGGCTGACTCTATGCGTTCAATGGACGCGGCCATGCGCTCCTCCATGGTGGTGGACTCTGCGATGAGGCTGGACTCCATGACGAGTCACCACCACGGTGGCCACCAGTCGCACCACAACCATCAGCAGTCGTCGCCGGAGGCGGCCGCGCTAAGGATGCACCAGGCCGAGGCGCTGCTGCGCTCGCAGGCCGAGGCGGCGCTGCGCCTTGCCGTAAGCCAGGCCGCTGCCGTCGCCGCCTCAAGCAACAGCGGCTCGGGCAACGGTGACGGGGGTTCCCCGTCCCTCCGGCATCACAACATGGCAACTGCCGCCCACAGTGGTGGCAACAGCAACGGCAGTGCCATGAACCATCACCATGCGCATCACAATCAAGTATCTCCGGATCTCAGTGAGGCGCTGCGGTTACAGGAACAAAGATTGGAACAGGCGTTGCGATTACACGGTGGAGACCCGCGAACGCTTGGCTTTTCTTTGTCCGGCAGTTCTGCAAATTCTCAGAATCAGCAGCAGAACAACAACCCATGAGAACTTTGTTATTACAACAATTAATTATGAAGAATGAAATGTAAGTGCATACTAAATTCCTGTATAAATATTGCATGTGAATTTATATAAATACTACGAGAGTAATGTAGAATTACTAATAGGAATATACAAATAGGTGTGATTTTATGCTGTCAAAAATTAATACTTAATTTTAACAAATGTTGATGACAGCAAGACACTAATGACAGTAGTGTAATATTCTCAGTTTCTTAGAGAAGTACATGAAACGTAATCCTTAACAAGCTGTACATGACAGATTACCATTTATGTTGTAATGTTGTGAGTGCCTGTATATAAATGCATGTGTGACTGTGGACCTGAGAAAATTCTTTTGTGGAAATACATTTGCTATAGCGTAAAGATATAACCTATTTGAGCTTTGGAAGAAAAAAACTTGTCAATGCCTCCATATTGGGATGTCAAAATTATAGAAATATATAACTGAATAGTCATTCTGAGCTTAAAGTTAGTTTTCATTTTCAACAAATTGTTTTCAGCTATTATTTCAGTCCTGAACTCCATACAGCCGTTGAAATGAGTAGAGATACTCAATTTTCAAAGACTGCGCAACTTATTTTTGGGGACAAACCGTTGGCTGTGAATATAATTTAGGGCAGAGCCTAAATTTCTTAGTTTGTAAGGAGTTTGCGTACATATTATAATGAGAAGTCAGTTCCTTTATTATTTGAAAAAAATCAAATTTTTGTTGCCAATCTTAAATTTTTGCAGTTTTAGGAAATGGCCATGAAACGGACAAGAAAGAGATTGAAGAAAATACTTTAAATATTTGAGTCATTTCAAAATATATATTATTCAAATGAGAAGTACTTTATTTTAAAATAAGACTATTGCTTTCTTTTATAACATTCTATCCTTGTAGAAAAATGCTTTGCGCAGCTTGAACTTATGTTTATATTGTGTTCCAATTTCAAAGGGTGCTTGGTTATGTGTAGTGTGATAAGAATGAATGTTTTGCATATTTTCCATAGTTATGATTGATAATATTAAAAAGGAGTACTGTCAATCTATTGTTACGACTGGAAACAGCAGTTGTCTGACAATGCTCTCTTTTTATAATTATCTGCCCATAGATGAATATGAATCTCTTTGTACAATAATTGCCTATAACTTAATGTACAAGGTAATAATTATCATTATTAATATTATGATTATTATCGTTATAATTATCATCAATATGCTCTACCATTCATATTGGTCTACCACAGGACGTGGTACACCACTGCGTCACCTTTATTTGTTTTTGTTATTTTTGTGCAACATTCATATACTACAATAGTTCAACAAATTTTTATTTTAGTCTCCCATTGGGACTGTATGTTCATAGTTCTTGTACTAAATGTTAAGAATGTCATGTTTTTGTAATCGGTACCACAATATCAATTCCACATATAAACAATAGTTATAAACAAGATAATTTTGTACTAATGTGACCAGGTTGAAAAACTTACATACACAGTACAAAAATGCTAGTAACATAGTAACATTTCTGAGGGCCTTGGTAATTCAGTCATGGATTGCATACAATATTTAGTTGGTCAATATAAAAACCACATTCAGATGCATTCCATTTCTCTAAAGGAACAGACATGGACATGTACAAGTCGATGTGACTGACATGTATCACACAATAAACATTCAGTGTTGTCAAACACCCACAAAATAAGCAATTGTCAGCTGCATTAATGTCTTTCTCTGTTGTACTATTTCTGTGGTCTCATAATAATTATTTTTAAACTGTGGGTTCATTTGTCATTTAACATCATATTCAAGCATTTAAATTAACAAAATTCTCCTATCTTCTTCTGAAATTCTATCTAAATCTTTTCTCTATTCGTGCTAAACAAAAAAACATCAAAAAACAAAAAAATAATCAGAAAATGTTATTTATTCTTTTTCTTGTTTCATATTAGCTCATCATGATTGTAATAGAGTGTGCATACTAACATGTGAAAATAAGTGGGTGGTGTGACATTGCTTGACTGTTTATTGTCTAATACTCACATTGAAGGAATATTCTTTTTGCAGTTTACCACCTTTATTTATCTACAAAAAATAAATAGGTGAGGTGTTGTAATGTGTTCATACCAGCAATACTTTTAGTTAACAAAGTATATCTAAGCATCAAAATTATTAGTAAAAGCAGTGATGGCAATTAATACTGTTACATCTAAAATATTCATCCTCTGAAAACTTACTGTTCATGCTTCATTGTTAATTACTACTACTACTACTTCTATTACTGCATCAATATTGCTCGAGTTATTAAAATGATATTTGGCCACTTTCAAAATGGTTTCATTCAGTTATACAACACATTTCTAATGAGAAAAAAAATATTTTAAGAAATTTGAACCAAGTTTATGTTTTTTTAATATATTTGCAGATGTTTATTTCATTTGAATTTATTTGTAAAATTTGGCCAGCCTTTTGAAATTTGTGAAGTTCTTAGAACAAAACTAATAGAAATACAGTTATAAGCACTTTTTTGCATTTTATGGCTTTTATATTTTTTATTCAAATACTGGTGTGATAACATTACATCCAGAATACTAAAATTTGAACATTTCTTTACTGGGGGGATGTCACAGTTCATGCTACATATTCTAAGTTCTTTCTCGCATTACCATACCTCACAATAGTAAACAAATACATTCTGAGTCACACACTCATGTTATGTATTACACTCAACTTATAATTTACAATAGCCCAAATACATTTGAGTCCAACACTCAAATGTACCACATCTCAACAAACCAATAAGTGAGGATACATTTTTACAATAATTTACAATAGCCCAAATACATTTTGAGTCTGACACTCAAATGTACCATGTACACAGACATTTTACAATAAATTTATTCTGCAATAGCCCAAATACATAATTGAGTCTGACACTCGTTATGTAGCCACAATGCACTACTCTCTTTGTAAAATAGCCACAAATATATAATATAGAGTGTAGCACTCTAAATGTATATGTGTCACATTTAAGCAGTTCAGCATGACTAAATGTACAATAGCCCAGGAACGTAATGAGTACAACACTCTTACGTACACTTATCATACATGTACCTAAATAGCATGCAAATACATAAGAAGTCTGCTACTTTATGTATCGCCATATATTGCAATATTACCCATATATTGTATAGTTATATCTAATATATGGATACATATACAGTCAGAATTAACAATAGCCCAAATACACAGCCGAGTCTCACACTCGCTGTGTACCATATCTCATACACAACTTGACTGTCCATAAGTGATGTCACACTTAATGCACTCATCAGCTGGGAACAGAATGGCCAAGGAGTGACTACATACTGGCAGGATTATAAAAGTGTGTCATTATTTATGGTTAGCTCATTATAAAAATGATCACATTTTACAATAGCCCAAATGCATATCAAGCCCAATGCTTGGTGTGCACTATATTTTTAAGTGAAGCACTATTTCATGCAATGTTTACAGTTTCCTGCAATAGCCTGCATTAAAGTATTTGTTATGTATTTTCAATGTGGAAGTTCACAAGGAAAATTACATGTTAAGTATATACAGCGTACTTCAATGAAAACTATTTCACAATAGCCATCAAATACATAGAGTTGGAAACTTTTTATGTAACATAATCAATAGCCAAATACATACTTGTGAGTGATTCCAATATTACTCAACACAGTATGTATCATATACCATAATTCGCAGTTTGCAATAGAAAGTTTAACAACTATCTACACAATACTGTATTGTAATTGTTTCAGTACAACACATTTTCAAAAGTAGTATCAATTGGAAAATTTGGTGAATTAATACAACATACTTTAATTTACAGGATGAATATACTGTTCCAAATTTTATGCACTGAAGCATAAAACTTCTAAAGAAGTATTATTTTACTTTAAATTACAATTGGAACAATATATTGTGGTGTACAGTAGGCCTAAATGTGTATCAAAATTTCTTGTGTGTGAAATAACTTGCAGCAATCAACGCACTTTTAAATAATCAATTTGTTGCATGACTTGCTTTTGTGTCTATTTTCTTATTTTCGTACTGTAAATGTTTCTTTATCTCTATCCTGTTTTACATACTAATGTAATAAGTCCATTTTCATCCAAAGAGATTTACAAAAAAAATTTAAAAATAGGAGAAAATCACAAAAACACAACATCCATAATTTTCTTTCTAGAAAATGTTTTCAGAAGGAATGAAAAACAGAAAATACTAATAAGCATAAAAATAATGAAAAACTGTTTTATTGTTCAAAAATATTAATTTTGTAGATCTTCAAGCAAGAACTTTGACTCTTTAGCGATAGTAAAAAAATTATATATACCTTTATGTACAATTATTTTGTGGAAATCTATCCAAACCCCTATTAAATTTCTATTAAACATTGTGAATAATTCTGTAGTTTGAATATATGGTTATTTGCATTTTATTGCATCCATTGTTACAACTTTCTTCTAGCACATCAATGAAAAAGTTCCTAAAGATACAGCAATTGCACATTTTAAATAAATATGCTCTCAGATTCTGTGTTCTCATTCCTTCTGAAACATTATACAGTTAGTTTTTCTGCAACGAAATCAACCAAATTTTGTTGATGTGTAACACAAGGTTCAGTATATCAAGAAAGCATTGAGAGCTGTAGAGTAACTGAAAGAAAAAAGTAGGAAATGAGTTGTGTATATTTACAAGAATTATTACAGCTGAAATTTGATTTTCATTATTATTTGCAATAAAATTGCACTTCAAAACTCATTCATTGTGCTATGAGTTTTATAATTTTTGGTTTGAATACATGCATATGGAAATTCAAAATTGTCTTCCATGGCAAATAAGAAAAGTAAGACACAAGAAAAATTACAAACTCCTATTTTCTCCTCGAATTTTTGTTACGTTCATATGTGCCATAGAATAATTGATACCATTTAGTTTCACCTGAATATAAT